ATCTTGAATATTGTACAGAACACGGGTTTGTGTCTTCTGCGAGGAGACTCAAAATCTATGTGATACCTTCAGAGCTCTTCTGACAAGTTCGAGCCCTGCGAGCCTATTTTCAAATACATGCACTGAGATGAATTGGACATAATTGTTATACCTAGAAACTTAATCAGCCAGGCCCATCTACGTTCGATGATCTGACCGCAAGAGGCAATTAACCATCAAAGCAGGATGTTGCCAGCAGCTGTAGATGTTCTTTTAGTCCCTTCACCCTCAGGGTAGGAGCTGATCACAGATTCATTTTTAGGGCTTTTCTTTTTGTATTCTTTACTCTTACAGTCAAACCTGACAATTAGCTTGCCCAAACTGCTATTTCTTACATGGCCCTGAATAAAGAAGCAAAATAAGTGACAAAGTATAATCAAGTACTTTGGTATATCTCTTGCTCATTCACACATGTACACACACACACATGCATCCTGTCACACACATACACCCACATTGTCTGAGCGTTCATCTTCTGTTCCTTCCTTCTGGCTTATCAGACACTGAAACAGCGATAGCACATCCCATTATCTGTGCTGTAACTTCACTCTGTTGGTCAGCTGAAACACCTCACACACAAGAAAGAATTCTCAGGGACAGATTCAAAGCCAGGCTGCATGTGGTTCTGGGCAGCCTTGTCTGGCAGTTGGTGACCCTGCACATAGCAGGGGGTTGAAACTAGATGATCACTGTGGTCCTTTTCAGCCCAGGCCATTCTATGATTCTGATTCTATGAAAAGTAGTCATGCCATGATAATTTCAACAAGGAAGTTATGGTCTTTGAACTGTTATGAAAAAAATGTATATTGAAGGAGAAACGAACATCTGGAACAGACAACATCTGACTGTGAGTGAGCATTCTTATGTACTGTGTCACAGTCACAGAATGGCCAGGGTTGGAAGGGACTTCAAGGATCATTAAACTCCAACCCCCCTGCCACATGCAGGGCCATCAACCTCCCCATTTAATACTAGACCAGGCTGCCCAGAACCACATCCAGTCTGGCCTTGAACACCTCCAGGGATGGTGTCCTCAATGACCTAGTTGTTCAAATCATTCAAGTTTTTAAACTCGAATTCTGTATAATGCACTGTTTCATATGCATGTCTATGTGTATTTCTTTCCTTGTGTAGCCCACTGGCACTTTAAAGGGAAGCAAAATTTTAACAGCCATACAATATCCATAAGACATTCATGGAGGATCTAATTCACATATGGAAAAAGAACAGGAATGTAAGGTTTTGGTGTTTTTCCTTACATTCATTGTACTTTCAAAATCAGTTGCAGGAAATCATTTGTGTTGTATGCAAGCAAATTCAACAAATAAATAATCAGCATACAGATCTACCTGAACACATTCTGTTAGCTTGCTACAGAGCCAACTTGATGCTTGCTAACGTGAAGACCTGGATATTAGGAAGAGGTTTAGATGCTGGACACTCAAGCAGCATTAATTTAAATCAACTAAAAATAACAAAGATAGCAAGATTTAATAAACCGCACATCCCAAACGTGATGCAACGTTTGTAGTTTTTCTGAAAACTAATTCAGAAAGCATAAAGGTACACGAATATCTAAAATGTGTTTCAGTGCAGTCGTTGCAGTGTTAGTTCCTTTAGTTACACCTTCACTGTGAGCTGGGGAACTTGTGGCCATGCTTCCAGACACAGTCAGGGAATTCACTCCATCTACAAGCTGGTTCCTTTTCCCCATGTGGTTACTGATTAATGCCAACTTGTAGCAATGAAAGGTGCTCTGAAGGCCTACATGGCCTTCAGCAACAACACCACCACAGAAGCACCTAAACAAAAGCCTACGTTTCATAGGACAGGATGTCACAGAGGTATGTCATGGATGGCGAGGAACGCTTGATGCTGCCATGTCAGTTATTTAAAAGCCAAGGCTCTGACTACAGAGAACATTTTTTGATAATTCCAGTAATTACCTGAGTCAGCGGGGAAGCGCCGAGCTGGTGCCTTCCTGGGCTCACCAGGATGTAATGACGCAGGAAGCAGAAGATAATGGAAGCCCCAAGCACAGAGCTGACTCGGAAGCTCCACTTCTTTGTCACCAGCGTAGACGCGGGCAACTCATTCCTTCAAGAAGAAGCATTGGGCAACCACGAAACAGGAAACCTCACGCAGAAACGTTACACTCAGTAAACCAGCTGGCCCAGGAGTGCACTTGGCTTTGTGAGGTGCTGGGCTGTGGCTGTGGCTGGGGTTGGGGCACAGGGCCACACCACTGCCTGGCTGGCCTGCTCCCCTCCTGGCATACATGCATTCACCACTGAAGAGCAGTGGGTTTTCCCAAGCTTTTAGGTCAAACAGGGAACACATCGCACTGCACCATCTCGCCCTGTTTCCATTCTATGTGAGTGCCATTACCCACGGAGAGAGGCCGAGCCCACAACTCTGTGCTCCCACCTCAGCCCACAGGCAGGAACTGAGGCTCACCGGGTGGCCCCGGCCTCCACACAGCCGCTCGGCTGCCCCACGGCCAGAACCAGGACAGTGCGGCGGGCGGAGGCTAGCAGGAGAGCCCGCCACGTGCCCCTCACGCCCCCGTGCTCCGCGCCCCGCCCCCCTCTCGGTTTTGCCCCGCCCCGTCTCTCTCGCCCCGCCCCATCCCTGCCTGTTTATCCACGAGCTGTACACGTGGTGGCCGTACCCCACCATTGGTCCCCCGTCCGGGCAGCTGTAGTTTTCTCACCTATCAGGGCGCTGTCCACGCGCGGCCGCCTGCAACCCATTGGCTCCGCCGCAGCGATCACGCAGCGTGACGCACTCCGGCCGTGCGCCCGCCGGGAAACGAGCGTCACCCGCAACGAATGGCGCGGCGAGCGGCCGGGCGGCGGCCAATGAGGCGCGGCCGGGGGGCGGGACTATCCGCTGCGGGCGCCGGGGGAGACGGGCGGATTTTAAAGCTACCGTCGACGGCGGCCGCGGGCTTCCCCGGGAGCCGGGGAGCGATGGCGGCGGCCGGGCCGGGCCCGGGCCCCGGGGTCGGCGGGAAAGTGAAGACGCTGGCCCTGGTGCTGCAGGACGAAACCCGGCGCGGCGGCTACTGCAGCGGGGACACGGTGTCAGGCCGGGTGCTGCTGGAGTTGGCGGGACCGCTGCCGCTCCGCGGGCTGCGCCTGGAGGCGGCGGGCCGGGCCCGAGTCGCCTGGAGCGAGGCGGCGGGATCCGTCGGAGCGGCGGGGGCCTGCGGGGCCGAGGCGGCGGCGGGGCCGCGGCGGGAGGCTGAGGTGCGCTACCTGGACGTCCGGCAGAGCCTGCTGCAGAGCGCGGCCGAAGGTGAGCGGGGCGGCGGGGGCGACGCTGCGGGACCGCAGCCCCGAGGGCCGGCAGGTTTCCTCGCCTGTTCCTCTCACAGCGGCGCCCCGATGCTCTGCGAGGCAGCGGCGTGCGGAGGCTGACGGAGCCGCGTTGTGCCACCCGCGGCAGCGCCGAGCACTTGCAGCACACGGCGTTGTGTAAGCGCTTCTCTGCGGGGAAGTGTCGGGCCGTTGGGAGCGCTGTGACGGCAGGCCCTCGATGGTTATATTAATATTACATCGATTAATAAAAATACGTTTCATTATCCTGGCCTTAAATTGCAGCTTTTCAGTGCAGAAGGTAGCTTAATTGAAAAAAGTGGATTAACTGCAGGCGCAGAATTGTGGAGTCACTGTGTGTGGAAAAGACCCTTAAGGTCAACACATCTGGTTGACACGAACCCTTGGAGGCCACCACTGGCCTTTGGTGCCGCATCCACAGCTCACAAATACCTCCAGGGATGGCCACTCCAGCTGCCCTGTTCAGTGCCTGACCGCCTTTCCATGAAGGAATTCTTCCTGACAGCCAACCCAAACCTTCCTAGGTGCAACTTAATCTGATTCCTTGTATCCTATCTCTTTATCACCTGAGAGACCGACACCCACCTTGCTGTGCCCTCCTTCCAGGCTGTTATAGGGCATGTTGCGTTTCCTCTCAGCCTCCTGCAGACTGAACATCCTCTGCTTCTTCAGCCGTTCCTCACGTCTTGTGTTCTAATCCCGTCACCCAGCTTTGATGCTCTTCTCTGGATGCAGTCCAGTATTCTTCCTGAAGTGAGGGGCCCAAAACTGAGCGCTGTACTTGAGGTGGTCTCACTGGCGCCGCTTACAGAGGGATAATCACTTCCTTAATCACTGTCCTGTTGAAAAGGAGAAGAAACTTTCTGTATGCTTTCCAGAAACCATTTTGGATTGGTTGGACAAAATCCTGAACTGAAAGTCAAGGACTTCATGTTTCCTTGATTTATTTATTTTTTTTTTTTCATTGAAGTCGCACTACAGAATAAATGAAGTGTGGGCTCCAATCCAAAACCCATTGGGATCAATAAAAACTTCTACCAGTCCCTTGCATCTGGGTGTTTATAATTTGTATGAGCCTCTGCTTTGTACTTCTATTTACAGAGTAACTAAAATACACTATTCATTTTTATCCTGCAGGTGAGGAAGGCTTAGTTCTATTAGATGGAAGACATGAATTTCCCTTCAGCTTTCAACTCCCACAAGAGTAAGTTAAATAACACAACCTGAAGGGATTGAGCTGGACACTGCTTATTGTGGAAAATTAACTCAATGTAATTTGACTCATGTTTTTTTTAATATCAAACTGATAGCTCAGCTTCATATGTTTGTCTTAATCAACCACCGGGTTGTGGACATGCCTTTTGTTACAGATTCCCTAAGGCCCTAAAAATACAAGATGTAAATTGGTAAATGTTTACGTATACAGGAAGTGTTCGTGTTTGGAACTGAATTACAAACCTACAGTAATCCTTTTGTCTGTTTCAGACCTCTGGTGACCTCTTTCACTGGGAAGTATGGCAGTATTCAGTACTATGTGAAAGCAATTCTGGAAAGACCTGCAGCACCTGATCAAAGCGTACAGACAGAGCTCCAGGTCATTAGCCATATCGATGTCAACTCACCAGCTTTATTGGTAAGAGGGTCCTCCACTGCCCCTTCCTCCCTTAAGGCCAACTGCAGAAATTAAAAATAAAAAAATTATGTTCCATCCAGCTATAAACATTTCCACGTTATTCTAGAGAGCCATTTCCCGACTTCTGAAAGCATGTAAGCTCCCTAAGCTTTTCTCTATAAATAGATGATCTTAGGTTGTGTGAATAGTGAACAGAGAGGGTTGTTGGCTTTTTGTGTTGGTTTTCTTTTTCTAATACCATTGATTACAACCCTGCTGGCAGAGGTGCTCTTGCCAAAAAGTTATGCAGGCTACAAATGCTTAATAATAATAATGCACAAGCTTAAAGTAGTTACTCTTACCAGAGCAACTACATTCACACGGCTGCAGTGTCCCAAACTCTTCAATAATAGTAGGTTGAGGAGCAGTAATTATAGAAGAGCATTAATCATGCCCAGCCTGTCATTTATGGTCTGGCCATTATGTTACGTCTCCTTCCATTTTGCATGTCGTTTTCTAACATTAAGTGTGTGCATGCAGCTGCTTCAGAGATCTTTTCAGTTATTTCCTTGTGACAGATTTGGCCACATTAAAGCAGAGCTTCTAATAGTCACCAGAAATACCGTAGAGTAATAAGAAAGATCAGGCATTAAGCAATGAGAAAATAGGCAAGATAGATGCTAACGAGCTGGATTCTTTTATCTCAGCCCATATTATGAAAATAATGTAAAATTATACCTTGCATTTTCATGATAGCAACGGGATCTAAATGGTTATTCATTTAAATGTGAATGAGTAATTTCTATTTTATTTAAAACGCTAGGATAATTTTAACATTTCATCATGATGAACGTAGCTAAGAGATGTTTTCAGCACATTTTTCTCCTTCCTTTTATGTGCTTACATTTTAATCTCTCCAGAGCTAGAACTTACAGAATTGCTTTGGCAGTGACATCTGTAAGCAGAATCTAGTCCTTTTACATCGGTGTATGTCAGCAGTGTGAAGATGGCCTGTCTGGTTACTGCAAGGACAGTATGGAGCTGACAGCAGGCTATTGCACAGGAGGGGGCAGTGAGTCGTACAGCAGCCATTGCTCATAGTAGATTACAAAGAATCCACCAAAAGAACTGGAAAGTTTTTGGAACAGTTGGAAAAACTGGATGTTGTGTTTTTCTGTCACAATGCTAAATGTTAGGGGTTTGTGTGGATTACAAGTTACAAAGATGTATCGCCTTAGCTCAGCGTGTGTACATTTCTCCTTTCTTAGTAGATACACAAAGACAAAAATAGTTTACCTGTTTAACTATTGCTTGCAGATGGAATTAATTCTGCATTTTTCTGCACTAGGGTTACGTAAGGGCACAAATACAACAATTCTTCCTTAGACTTTTAAAAAGGAACGCCTATAAAAATGCACTGAATCAGTCTTTTTGGAAACATTAATTCAAGTACGCTCAGTCTCTGTCTTCTGCATGTGATACCTTCTAAATGCAGGCTTGTGCTTTAAAACAGACCTATCTTCAGATAGCCAAGACTTGCTGCCATTTCACGTGGTGGGCAAAACACCAGTTCCATTGAGCAGTACAAAGATTCAAATCCAAGGGGATTTTAGAATTAATTTAAATGATTCTTAGGCGTTACACTGAACTTCAGGTGATTGATAACTTCATGCCATAAAATGGAAAAAACCCCTTTGTTTTATAGACACCTGTTCTGAGAAGTCAGGAGAAGATGGTTGGCTGTTGGTTTTTCACCTCTGGGCCAGTGTCTCTGAGTGCCAAAATTGAGAGAAAGGGATACTGTAATGGTAAGAGGAATTGTCTTCACTCTTCAGGACATGAGTATTAAACATCTAAGATGATTTTTTCATCCCTGTAAAGGCAACAATGGAAAGGAAGCCCTGATAGTAAACTTAATGGAAAAGCCATGAACATCTGGTTATAAAGAACAAGATGCTTTTAGTGGGGATAAAATATATGGCTGAGGCTGTAGAGTTTTTCCATGTCCCATTTGGGTGTTTACTCTTCTGTAAGAAAGAGCGTTAGCAGCTTCTTCCACATCTTGATAATATTGGATACACTGAGGAAGTGGAATGTTCTGGAATGCAATTAGTACTGCATAGAAGGAAGACTGGTGAGCAGTTTGCAAATAAAGCTTTTAGCACTTGTTCATATTTTGCTTAATGTTTTAAAATGAATCTCTGTTTATGCATAAAATGTAGTAAGTGGCTTTAATTCTGCTTGGATGCCAACTCTGTAAAGAAACTAGCTTGAGGAAACAAGCAAGAGTTGTTGTCAGTTTTAAGGTGGGGGATGAACATGGGTGATGTACATGCTGCAAAACAGCTTTGATGTTTCTAAAAGAAAGCTGGTGAACACAAGTTATTCACTGAACTCTTTCTGGCTTTAAGGGGAAGCCATACCAATCTATGCAGAAATCGAGAATTGTTCTTCTCGCCTGATTGTTCCAAAAGCTGCCATTTTCCAAACACAAACGTACCTGGCCAGTGGGAAGACAAAAACTTTCCGTCAGATGGTTGCCAATGTGCGAGGAAACCATATTGCCTCTGGGAGTACAGATACCTGGAATGGGAAAACTCTGAAAATCCCACCTGTATCCCCCTCTATACTTGACTGCTGTATTATTCGTGTTGAATATTCATTAGCTGTAAGTATGGATTTTCTTTACAAATGCAATATTGTGTAACACTGCTGAAAGCTACGTTAGGTTGGGGACAGAAGAATTTTCATTACTGAGTTCTTAAATTTTGAATTGGGGAACAAAAGTAAATGCAAATAAATGTCATGTGCAGGTGACAGACTGAAAACAACGAGGAGATTCTGAAACTGAAAGATAAGAGTAATAAGGAAAATGTTTCTGCGGGAAGCAGCAGTTTAGTTCAAGACCTGCAGAGGTTATCAGGGGACAGCATTTCTCACTAAGTGGGTTCTTCTAGTTGTTCTCCTCAGAAGTGGGAAGGCAGGACTGGAAGTCAACCTGTTTTGGATTTTTTTTAAATGTCATCTGGAGACAAGGTAGAGGAGAAAGGAAATGACTGAAAAATAATGAACGCTGCCAGCACATTAGTTAAATATTTGGGATGAAGGAAACTAATTTCTAAATGATCTGCAACAGAGGCAGTATGGCAGCTTCTGGGAGCAGTAGTTCAATGGAATCTAATCATGTCTTTTTCTCTTATTTGGGGGTTGTCACATAGGTGTATATCCATATTCCCGGTGCTAAGAAATTGATGATCGAAATGCCTCTAGTGATTGGCACTATTCCATGTATTGGCTTTTCAAGCAGAAACTCCAGCATTACCAGCCAGTTTAGTATGGATATGAGTTGGCTGGCCTTAACCCTGCCAGAACACCCTGAAGGTAATATATATTGAACTTTTTACAATACCACATAATACTGTTTACAGCAAGAAGGGAGTAGTGGCAGTTCAAGAACTAGATCAATAAAGGATGTAGACCACTGAAGTATGACTCACGAGAAGTAAGGCATGTGTATCTAACTAAAAATCCAGAAGGAGTGATGGGCATACCCTAGCTCCAACTCTCTTTAAGAGGCTCTTCACCTCTAGCTGACTTCAACTAAATCTTGAAATAACTAACCTCTGATAGCAGGAGTTCTACTTTTGCAGTGGAATTAGAACTAAGGCACCTAAAAGTTCCTTCATAAAATACCAATATATTGCTGGAGTAGCTCTAAAAGCATCTGTAGATGACTCCTGAATCACTTAAGCATACTAATGCCATGGTTCCAGATGCAGTATTTATGAATATAGTGTACTCCATAAAATCTGACAGCATAAGATATTTGATATATACAGTTTTCATGGTCCTAGGATATTGTAATGCATATATTGTCTTGCCAGAGAATACTTCAGAATTTCACAGTGTTATCTCTTGTGTTTCAGCACCACCAAATTACGCTGATGTAGTGTCTGAGGAAGAGTTCTCCAGACATGTTACTGCTTATCCACCACCGATCGACTGTGAGGAACAATTGTGTTGTCCTGTGTTTGCTTACATACAAGAGTTCCGGTTTCAGCCTCCACCTCTTTATTCAGAGGTAAAAAATAATGATAATTAAAAAACAGGTTTCAAACAAGCTTCAAAAAAAACCCAGCTTTTTTTGAAAAGTCTCAGCTGAATCTTTATGTGTATTTATTGTCACATGGGAGAGGGAAAGTATTGGGATGCAAGAACTATAGGCAGTAATTACTGACTTCCTTCTCCCTGTAGGTTGATCCACATCCAACTGATGTAGAAGAATTTCAGCCTGTTTCATTAATGCTTTGAAGAAGGCTTTGTAATGAGGATCACTGCGTTGAATGTCTTATCTGCTTCAGCTGACAGTGCAGCTAAAAAGGAGACGGTTTTCTTTTTCACAACTTCAGTTTGCGTACAAAAAAGGCAAAAGAAATGGAGAGGGAGGTATGAGAATGTCTGATGGCAGAAGAGAATCTGCTGGATTAGCCTGCGCAGAAGATTCTGTGGGAGCAGCTCTGCTTGGGGTACATGGGAAGAGCTGGGAAATACTGAATGCTTTTTTAAAAAAGTGGATGTATTGCATAAAGTACACAGTGGAGGTATGAGGATCTTCTGAAGAGAAATCAATGTATACTTTGTATGGAACACTCTGGAAGAATTTAAGTAAGGATGATGTTGGGAACTTGCTTAGTAGAGCACGGGTAGCAGAACAGAATGTGGGGTAAGAAAATTGTTTCATAAGATGTCCCAGTGTTCAAGGGGCTTCTGTGTGCATCCAAGAATGGAACACTACTACAGTGTGGAGCGAAATCTTCACTCCAGCTTAACTTTTCATTTCATGAGAGCCTGCCAAGTGGTACTGTTTTAATAACTTATACTGATTCTAAAGATGTCATGGATGACAAAACGGCTATTATGCAATATTATGAAGACTACCATTTATTGAGTGAAAGATAAGAGTATGTAAAAGAAAACTGAACTTGGATGTGAGCTTATGCACTATGCTTTCTTTCAAGGGATTTCTTAAGGGAATTATTCTAGCCTTTTCTACTGTATTGTTCTTTTTCTGCATCTTAAGCCTATGGGTAGCGTAATAAGGGGAAGCATGGCAAGGGAAGATCCTTTTGCCAGCAGCAGGTGTACTTCACAGTATGGACAATACTTATTTATTCAGAAGCCTTTATAAGCCTACCTCTGTTCTGCAAATGTACTTACGGTCAGATCTGAGACCAAAAAAAGAGTCTTGTTTAAGCTCCAAGATACTTCAGGGTCCTGAAAGGGACCCTGAACAGTTTCTGTGATTAGTGAATGAGATGGAAAGCATAGAGAGAAGCTTAAATATACCCCGAAAAGATATAGCATATAATTGAAGTGGAAGCAGACACCAGAGGAACAAAATCCTTTGGTAATGGCACAATGCTTCTCATTACTCCTGCATTTTTGTCTAGAGATCTATTGTCAGGGGCTGCACTAGTCATTTGCTATCCATCCTATTTTTTGTTAATGTTTCCTTGTTTGTTTTTGCTGTCTAATTTTGTTTTTTGTGCAATATTTTAATGTTTTCTTCCTCAGGTCATGTAGAACAGTAAGTTTTTGCTGCTAAGAATGAAGGCACATCTTATTACTTGGCCCTTTGCTGCCTTCATTTAAAGTAGAATGTTTGCTTCCTGCCAAGCATCGATTGGAATAAGTAATCCAGCATGAACAGATGACTTAACGGAGCAGAAACACAGCATTCTCAGTATGCATGTTTACAGTCAAGTCTTTAAACTATAGGGAATCTTGAACTGCTAGATCTACTCCATATGTCTTACAGAAGGGTTTTGGGATAAAACCTGGTGCTTCATGTGGTTAAAACATTGTACTCTCTGCTCATCACGAGGATAGCAATTGAGTTTCTTTCATTTCATCAGTAACTGCAGTTTAAAGAAGTTTGAATGCTTTTTATGAAATCAATCTTCATTCAAGAAGCAGGGATTTTTCTACAACCATATACGGATATATATTTTTAGTCTTCTTTTAGTATGACTTCCTTACATTGTCTGATTTCTAGCACTTCAAGTCGCTCTTACATCACTGTAAAAGACATACTGATGAAGATTCACATTTCTAAACTGCAGTTACATTTTTCATTTGCAAACTGAAGTATTGTCATCTATGGCAAATGCAGCTTTAACCAATGAGTGCATGTTTTAGAAAGGACACTCTCAAAATGAGTACTTCTTGTCTTAAGTCTCAACATGTAGCTCTCATGCCTTTTATTTCAGTGTTGGCGTGCCCATACACTCAGTGCAGGATTTTCTTTTACATATCACCTGGAAAGGGAACAAGCATAATTTCCTTAAACAGATACCATTATGGTTACTTGAAAAATACTGTGGCTGTATACTAATTTGCATGTTAACAATTCAAAATACTACCTTTAAGAAGACTGTGGGGTTTTGTTTTGTTTTGTTTTTTACTTTAATTCCTGATAGGTGATGTGTGTTATCCGGCTGTTTGATTGGTATAAACATGGTCAGGCAAACAAAAGATGAAAGGTAAAGATGTGCTTTGTTGTTGTTGTTGTTTTTTCCTCTGTGAGTTGTTCTTCGTTATTTGCAGATAAACTGTGGCCTTAGATTGTTTGCTGCAAAAAAACTACTAAAATGTGTTTCTTAGGAAGCACACATGGTCCTTCAAAGGAGGGTTGAAAACAAGATCAAGTTCTGCTCTCAGACACTTGGCTTGGTGTAGAAATTGGTCCTTAAATAATGTTTGCACAATAAGTTCAATAAGCAGGGGGGTTGCTTTGATAACTGTGAAACAGTTGAAGAGAGACAAATTAAAAAAAAAAAAAAAAAAAAAGCTGTTAAACTTTAACATCCAGGAACATGATTGTATTTTGTACTAATATGAGCCCTATGGGTTCTTTTTTTGTTAATAAAAGTATAAAAGGCACATAGCGCTGTTCCTGTTGGTTTCACTGTCTGTAAGATGGAAAAATTGTTGTCTTTGAGTTGTCTTAAAAATATGTGTTCAAACAGGTAATAAACAATGTCCTCTTCCATACAAGGGTAGAGAAGGTACTGCAGGTTTGTGTTTGCAGCTCTGATGTTTAAACTGGAACACAATTCCCATACAGAGTAAGAGAGACCACTTTAATCAACTCCTGAACTGGGCCACGTTCCAAACTCTTAAAATAGTATGTTCTGTTATTTCACTGCCCCATTTGAACACCTAACTCCTTTTATTAAATCTGCACTGCAGATCTCACTGAAGGGTGTGGAGAACACGGTTCACAAAGCTGATTTGAAGATGATCAATTGCCAAAACAGCCACGGCAGTAATGCCTGCTTTCCAGTCAGATTCTGCTGCTTCCCAGTGCTCTCTTTGGGGTAGTGGTTGAGCACAGGGACATGAAAAGAAGCTTTCAGACTGCTGCATTTTTCTAAAGCTGATTATATAATATCTTAACATCAATATGCAGGCTGGCATGTAAAGTAGATTCTCTAAAGAACTAATTAAGCCTCTCATGGGCCTGGTCATTTGCTTCCAATACTCAAATTTTGTATGGATGTAGCAAAGACAGGGTGCCAGTCCATGCTCCAAATTACATTGTGATCATCATTATTAAACATAATTAACATGCAATGATATTGCACAATCGTACTACATTACCATTTCGTTATTGGCATTTTAAGGCAAGTTATTTCAATATTAAGTCAAGAAATGAAAAGTGGTTTTACATGGAATGCAAGATGGTAACTCAAGTGGGACTGGACTAGAGTAGCTGCTTGTTATAACACAGGCAGATTCGATCTGCTTAAGTACAACTGTATTACTGACAAATCTCTGAGCACCCATCCCTTCAAAAGAAAGGAGGAAATCCCTCTTAGTTTGGGCTTACATTCAGCCATCTGGCTGCCTGGAGGGTGAGAACGTGAAGTGCAAGGTGAAAGTAGGAGCAGGTGCTGGTGCTTGATGGGCACCTACAAGTAGATTTCCCCAAATAAACTGAGGCATGCAGATCAAAAGGGTTTTATACTAACACACAGTACTTGCTGTGTTGCTTGATGGCAGTTGTTTTCTTATTAGTTGTGCTTTCAAGTAATAAGTGTAGTCAGATTAAGAGTTGGCTATGTAAATAAGTGTGAGTTGAGGTAGATTGGTAGGTATTTAGCACTCAGCAGCTATCACTACGACAGCCTAATAACAAGCATCACCCATTTGCTTCTACCATCTTCAATGTACCAGACCTCTAATGGATAACTTTCCCCTACTCTCCCCTCTAGCAAAACTGCTCACTGGCACTTCACTTGTAGCACAAGATTCAGCTGGCAGTCTGTGCTCACACAGACAGAGCAGCATAAGGACATTTTAGTCTTAGTTGATAGAAGGAGTACAGAGTAAAAACCAATAGAGTTAAAAGCAATAAACAGTCATCCACTGTGGGGGCTGTGGGACGGAAACGGGAAAGTGGGGAAGTAGGGGAGGGATAAAAAGAAGATGCTGTCATTGTCAGAAAGAAGACACAGCTGAAGCAGCAAACAGTGCCCTAAGAGGGGATTTGACCTGAACACCAAGAGCAGCCAGTAGCTCTCGATGCCTGGTATCAGATGTGGTCACACACAACATGCAGGAGCAGTGCAGATACGTAGGCTAAACCCACTGCCAAATATTTTTGGTTGTGAAAAGCTACTAGTTCCCAGAGCCTTGGAACAGTGTAATTCTCCCAAAAGGCTACTGGGCACAGAGATTCTTGACACTGACTTCCAAAGATAACAGAAGGTACCTGTATCTCAGTACCCAGCTGTGGGATATGCATATTTACACACAGAGGCTTTCTGAAAAAATGCATATGTATAAACAGAACGTTCTTACAAACCAACTGACCTGTCATAGGCATCTCCCAGCCAGGACTCAGTGAGTGTGTTGTGAGCAGTGAGACAGCTTCTGGGGAACACGAGTACACGCTTTCTTCAACCCTGGTTTGGGAAAAACGAAAGAACAGACATAAGAGACAGTAGAAACTGAAGAATTGTCAAGAGGACGATATGATGACCATAAGCATTAAATAGAATTGTTGCAAAACCAGAAAGGTCCCAGAGCTGTAAATAGGACAGTCCTATTGATGTTGCATCCAGAATCTGGGTATGTTAGTCATAACAGTCAGACCACAGCACGAGGACAAGGCGAGTCTTACTGTTGAACTAATTGGATTAATCAAAGCACAAAAGAGATCACAAGTGACAAAATGTTTAATTTTCATTTAAGTAATTTAAGCCCTGAAGTGCTTTTATCATCTCTCTTAATGTGATGTGACCAATGCATTAGCCTAAACAGATTAGAAAGATACTAAAATGGAAAACAGTCTGTGGTCATAAGTATTAAATGAGAGTAGGAAAGAAAAGCATTTGCTGATGTGATACAGATTCTCCAACCACAGTGTCCTGGAGGAGGAGATAAGGAGATACATTTCTGACAGACATTGGTACCACCACACAGAGACCAAGTTTTGCACGCTGTGTGCAGGGCTGGTCCTCCTTATCCCAGCAGCAGCATTTTGGTACCACTGGTCTCTCCCTCACCATGAGATCAGAGAGAAGGCTGCCATGATCCTCTATCAGTGATTCAGCCATCACATCTTCTCAGCACACAGGAGCAAGACGGGAGAGTGAGGCTGTACCTCAACAGGGCTGTGCCAGGCTGCAGCCAGCCCTGCTCCCACCAGCTGTGCAGTGCCCACAGGCAGCTCAGCCCCCTCCTGCAGCCCTGTGCAGTCACACGCATTGGGGGCAAAGAATTCAGGAGGTCTGTCAGCTCGAGGTGTTAAACAGAGAAGTCCCCAGGAAGGGCAACCTCACCGGCTTTTTTCTCATGTGAACCCACCTGCCATCACCGGGACAGGACATTATGTTCATCCAAACAAATTAACAATTCATTTCCAACCCTGACACGAAGATTAACCCTGCCAATTAATTCCTTAATCTCTTGCTGCCGACAAGGCTCACAGTTGCCATGTGGACGCGTGTCCATTGGGGCCTGAAGCAGGGCCATTCTGTTAATTGATGCTGCATCCAGGACAAGGCGCAGCTGATATTCAAACATGCTCCAACTATACAAACGAGGGTTGCATCTCACACTTCACCAACGTGCCAGACTGCACCCGATGGACACCTTGAAAAGGGCATGGATCTCAATGGCTGCAGCAGCTTTTGCTACATACAGGAGAAATGTTAGCTAGTACAGTCATTTAGCCACGATGTGATTGTACTGTTGTATAGCACACACAGGAGCTGGGAACGTGTGAAATACAGCAGTGATGGAAAGTGATACTCAGTCACCTTGAGGGTTGTCTGCAAGCCAGCTATGACAAATTGAGTCAATTTTCCTTTGTTTCTCTAGGTTTTACCATATATAATTAAAAAGATACTGCTCATTAAGGTGCTTTATGAAGTAATAATAAAATCTATGAATAATATTAAATTAAAGGCTACATAATGTCTCTGGACATATAAAGCAGGAAATTGCAGGTGTGTAAAGTAAGCGAGCAACAAAAAAAGGAATCAGTTGGTGCCTGTTACAACTCGTCCAGAGGGTGGGACGAGTGGAGGCATTGCAGAACTGCGAGGAGTGTAAACGCTGTATAAACACACAACCTAAGTGGTGTTTACAGAGATGTACAAGGAAGGAGGATGTACTGCGTACAGGACTTTCTGTTCCATGCACGTGTTAGGTAATGTCTGCTTTGGGGCCTTAGCTTGGTGATTTTTTTTTGTTTTTGGTGTTGCACGTATTTGGGTTCAGTGCTCAGTTGTATACTGAACTTCCATAACCCAGGAAAGGTGAAGCCCACCCTGCTGCAGTAGCAATACAGTCTGAAAAATAAAGTCTGACTTTCCCTGCAGGCCTTCCAGCAGATCCTGACAAGGCTGAAGAAATAGCTGATCTGTCTTTTATTAATGAAAGCGGGGAACACATTCAATGCAAAAAAATTGCAGCTACCGGATTGGAGCCAGCAGCTCCATGGGTGCCTTGTCAGAGGGCATTACTGGAGAAGTATTTCATTCTTCAGCAGAACGTTTATTTAAGATGTGTAACAAAACCAGGCAACATTTGCGGACTCGGGAAGGCCGAAGGACAGATGCCTATTCACATAGTGGCGGTGCCTTCTGAGACACTGTCAGTGACAGCGCTACTGCAGAACGCAGTCTGTGGCCTCAGGCCTTGTTTCTGCAGGATTTGTCAGGACAAAGGCTTGCATCAGCTTTTCCCAGGGCTGCTGTCTGTAACACAGCACTACCGTGCTGTAGTCTGTGGTTGCAAGCAGTCCCTGCTGAATCATGGTGCTGCTTCCTTCACAGAGCCACATGGTACTGATTCTCACAAGGATTTGGTGTTGGAAGAGTTAAACTGCTGCTCCCTACTGGACTATTTGGCATCTCCTTGTTTTCTGAAGTTAACACACTTTCTTCTAGGAACTTGTGCTATAAAACAGCTCTCGGGCAGGTGCCAGTTATGTACTTTTCCAGACACTGCTATGAAACACGTCACCTAACAGCGTGCTGGTACAGAGGGAAGGGGAGGTAATCTTTGCATTACACTCCATGGGAGCAGGTAGGACAGCCCCAGCAGCGACATGAACACCATCCTTCACTCTACCACACAGTTTCAACTTCCAGTTATTTATAAAAAATTATCATATGCAAACTTTTCCAAAGTGACCACAGGCATTGCCAGAGCTGAGTCCTGCTTAAGTCACCTGCATACAGTTTGCTGAAACATCCCCCCCAGATGCCTTGGTGCACATCACAAGCTGTGCCCCAGCCCAACGCAGAGCAGCTCCCTGCAAAGCCAGCTCCCACTTCTGTGCAGGTCCTCTTTGATCAGCAACCGCAGCAATAATTTACATCTCCCATCATTAAGTCTTATGTTTGATCACAGCCAAGCAGCCCTTCTGTGGAGCTGGCAGGCATTTACAATCCAAGTACGCTGGGAAAAAGACTTCAAGGCTATTTATGGAGGATTCCCATGCCTGTTACAGTTCACAGTTCAAGGAGATCCCCATCCCTGCCGGCAACACAGAGACATACACTGCAAGGAAACCTTGCTTTGGAAGGGAGAAGGCAGAAGTGAGAACAGCCTGAGAAGCTCAGCAGTGTCAGCCTTGGCCTTGAAGTGTTCACTGAACACAGGACAGTGATTCAGGAATGACCAGGTTGGATCATCCCCCAGCCCCACTCCCCGTTCATTTACAGTGGTGCCACTTTGCCCCAGCGCAAACCACAGCCCCAGCAGACAGCAGTCACTCCCCTTCTCTCCATCACAGGGTAACAACACCTTTCCCAGACAGCTGCATGCCAATCACTGCTATCTCCACTGCAGTTACAGATCCCAAATGAAGAGCAGCTATTCTCTTGCCAGCCCTCAATAGTACAGTCTTTCCCTTCCTCCTTGCACCTAAATGGCACCGATATCAGAATCCCCACAGATAACAGGGGAGGAGGAAGGCAAGGAACAAGGCTTCCTGTGCTCACAACACAAGTGTTCCCTGTCACAGCTATCCGTGCCAGCTGAAGGCACTTGAGCCAACGGTTGAATGAAATTAATAAGGCTGTATCCCAGCTAAGTGAGAAGCAATCTTGCCATTGCTGGCATGTGGCCCTGGCTTGCTGGCAGCCAGAGCTGGCAGGAGACAGCGTGGGGGACTGGAGATGCCCCTTCTTGGGTTACCTCGACCCCCAGCAGTCCTTCTGCCTGGGGCCTGGCATCAGGACATGTGGCTTGCACACCACAGTGACTGTTGCTTGTGCCAACACTTGTTTGAAAAATAATATTTTCAAGCTGACACCCACAGAAATGTTTGCATTTTGCTCCCATGCACCTTAGGAGTGATGCAACTGATTTGACAGGCTGGGGTTTTCCCAAAATCCTTAATGGTTTTGTAGCCTCTCTTCCAGTAAGGCTTTAGCCATCCTTTTAATACACTTCAGTGCAGTAATGCATTATCTTTTGTTAGAAGATTTCAAGCTTTCTGGTCTCTAGAAATCTGGATGCTGATTTTCCTCCTCTCATCCAATCTCTTGGCAATGTAATAAATAAAACTAATTTACAATAAAATCTGTTGCAGACATTGTTGTCTTCGGCTGAGTGGCAACTCCCAGTTCCTGTCTCAGGAACATTTGTGGTTTCTGGCACATCCCTAACAGGTATGAAACTCGTACAGCTGCTGACTCACGAGCTATATGGACACTGATGCAACACAGTGCATAGTCAGCCTGCAGAGGTGGACTTTGGCTTGGAACTTCACACAGAGGAGGGAGAGAAACACACCAACCCAAAGCCCTCTGTGGGGATGTAGGGGCATAGGGGTAGGCCCATGACCCAGCAGTGCTGGGAAGAGATGGTGCTAATGCAAAGGGGCTGTGTGGCTCAGCCCATCGAGGGTTGGGCAGAGCTCCTTTGTAATGCTGTTCCTGCTCCATGCAATGACTGACTGAGGGAATCAGAGTCACTCCCAGCTGACAGCTGGGAAGATGACACACTTGCTTACCCAAATATACACGTGACATCCCATTTTATCAACCCACTCACCTGCGAGGTCATTCCTAGCAAATTCTTAAGGAGTATAATTAGAAATATCATCTGATAATGAAAAGGCAGAATGAACAATGTTTGGTCATGAGCAAAGACACATTGGAGTGAATTTGTTTTCCGCACCAATTCTGTAATAGCCAAAAGGAACCACTCAATAGAAAGCATCTGATATCAAGAGATGACAGCCTAAGCTACTTCCCTCTTCATGTCTTTAAAGCAGAAAGGGAGACACTGCTGCCATTGTACAAAAAATGCTGGGCAGCTCCAGCTCTGAGAGCATGCAGAGATACCCTACAGACTGAACCGTGCTCTGAAAGCACAGAGGTGTGACACAGAGTGCTCAGCACCCTCCGAACTTCCTCACCACAGAGAGCTGGTGGAAGCAGAC